CTCTCTCTCAAAAATAAAGAGACATTCAAAAAAAATTTTAAAAAGTGGTATACAGCATAGGGTATATAATATTACAGTAACTATAGGGTGACAGATGGTCACTACACTTATGGAGGTGAACATTTCATAGTGTATACAAATGTTGAATCACTATGTTGCACAACTGAAACTAATATAATATCATATGTCAACTATACTTCTATTAAAAAAAAAGGAAACTCTGAAAAATTTTCAAAGCCAAAGGAGCCTAAAGAAGCATGAGTAGTAAATGTGGTATTGTGGATTGGATTCTGGAAAAGAAAAAGACATTAGTTTAAGAAATCCAAATAAAATTTGGACTTTGGTTAATAATAATGTATCATGTTGGCTAATGTGACAAATGTACCATACTAAGGTCAGTTATTAATAATAGTGGAAACTGGTTGCAGAGTGTACAATACCCTCTGAACTATCTTTGTGACTGTTCAGTAAATTTAAAACTATGCTAAACATTTAAAAAGTCACAAAATAAGTGACTGCAAATAAATAATTTCTGATTGAAATAATTTATAATTAACGAAAACAGAAAATATTTAAAACATAAATAGTCATTTTAGTTAGTCATATATGATTTCACCTTGTCATGTATTGTAATTCACTAATTATAATGAAGGAAAGAATTCTTCAGTTAATAGCAGTGCCTTAAATTTGTAAAACATATTAAAATGTTCAAGGGATTTTAACACAAAGGCATAAATAAAACATGTAAGCAAAAATGAAGTTAAACTATTATAAAATGAATGTTCCCAATAATGAATATAATAATTTTTCTCATAATAATGACATGTAATATAATTTATAATAGTACAAATATACTATACTGTCAAAAATACATTTTTCACAATTTTTAAATCACTTTATATTAGTATACATCCGTCTGCTAGAAAGTTTGCCTTGTTTTACAAAACCTAGCTTCTTGTCCCACTTTTTCCTTTGCTTTTGGCATAAGCTTAATTATCTTTCACATATTTGGGACCGTGTGAATGGTCAGAACCAATAGAAAATGGATGGAAGTTTTAATCCTGTACTCTGGTTCATGAAAATGTCCTATAAGTCTTTTGTTCCCTTTATTTTTCTCCATTCTTGTTGGAAGTGAGATGTCTAAAAAATTGGAAGAAAGAAGGATCAAAAGATAAAAAAGTATAGGTCCCTAGATCCCCTGTAGAAAGATGTCCATGGGTCAGAAATATCCCCCTTATACTGAGTGCACAGAAAGCATAAAAATTTTTATTGTGGTAAGCCATTAAGATCAGTAGTGTGTGTGTGTGTGTGTGTGTGTGTGTGTGTGTGTGTGTGTGTGTTTCAGCAACTAGCATTATTTATACTAAAAATTACTGCTTTCATCCTCATAAACACTTCCTTCAAAATTTCACTGGAATTAATTTTTAAATCCCATGAATGAATATATTTTTTGAAAAACATGTCTGTGTAATACAGTTATGAATAATTTCTATAGGAAATATATAGTTTTTTCTTTTTTTCTTTAAAAAAATTTTAATTTTCATTTATTTTTGAGAGAGAGGGAAAGAGAGAGAGAGAGCAAGTCGGGGAGGGGCAGAGAGAGAGGGAGACAATCTGAAGCAGGCTCCAGGCTTTGAGCTGTTAGCACAGAGCCCCACATGGGGCCCTAACTCACAAGCCTTGAGATAATGACCTGAGCCGAAGTCAGACACTTAGACTGAGCCATCCAGGAGCCCCTAAAATTTCTTCTTTTTAAATTTGTAATTATTTATTCTCTGATTAAGTTTAAGATTGTT